CGAGAGAGAGAGAGAGAGAGAGAGAGAGAGAGAGAGAGAGAGAGAGAGGCTGGTGAGCTGGAGGAAGAGGAGACACAGGAACAGGGAGAGGAACAGGAGGAGGAGGAAGATTCAAGAGAGGCGCCTCCACCTCACTGCTGCCCCCTCGGGAAGGGCTCCCTGCTCCCACCGCCACGCGACAACTCAGGGCCGCTTTCTACAGCTGCACGCCTACTGGTAACAAAAACCAGTACAGTAGTGCAGTCACTGCACACCACCTCCCCTCACCCTTCCTCCCACCCTGACCTTGTTCCCAACTCTGTGCTTTCACACTGGAAGTCACATTTCCCACCTGGCATTGCTGAGCCAGCCCATGTGTTATCAGCCCCCCACAAGTGGCTGTCCCAGACACACATGGGCTAATTCAGCTCTCATTGTAGACAAATTACACACCTGTGAAGGCAGAGAATGTTAGCATACAGAACTGTAGCATAGCAACACTATCAGTATAACTTAAAATACAAACATGAGTAGCTTCCCAGGGTTTTTTCTCTGATAACCTGGCTTCCCCCTCTGGCCAAAGAGTGCAGAGAGTGACAGAAAACCAAGTCTGTATATGTCCTCCAACTCTACAGAAGTTTGTCAGCTGTCATTCCAGTTAAACCAAATGTTTCCTCAAAGGCACAATTGTTTCTAGCAGAGTCAACATGGTCTCCCAAGGAAAATGAAAACTTGCTTTTTCTCCTTGGTTATCCAGTAGCCTTTTTGAAGTGTTCTTTATTCACAATTATTTTTTACAGAAACTATCTATACTACTATTTATAATTCATATCTTGGCTCTCGGTATAGCTCACATATCTGTACGCAACAGTGATGCAAAGCTCATGCATGACAAGCACATACTTGCACATCAACTGACTATATGCATCTTTTGTCACAGCTGTGAATGTATAAATGCTGGAAGGATTATTTACAATAACTGGTTTGTTTGCAGACATTTAGGGGCAAATTTGATAACCTTTGATATTAACCTGAAACTTTGTTTTTTATCAAATATGATTTATTTTTTTTACCCCAAAGAAATTAGTTAAAATTCTTCTTTCTGAAACAATTTGACAAACCTGGACATATAATTTGAAGCATAACCAGATATTAGGAGATTCACTGATATTTAACATATGTAGGTTACTCCAAAAAAAAGGACCGATGCAGAAATCATACTCTTATAACCAGATGTTGTACATTATGTTTTTAAACCAATAATTACCATTGTCTGTTTAATATATTTTATTTCTTCAAAATGACAATGATAAATTGTCACATCATGTCTTGTTCTTTAGGTTTCCAAGTGGACTGCAAAACATAACAAACACCTAAATTAGTAGCTTTACTGTATGATTTCCAAAGACAATAGATATATAGATTAATAATACAATTAAATGTTACCTCAGCATGTAATTCTGGTTAATATTAGCACAAAAATAAACCACCATAAACTACACAGTCAGGGATATATCTTCTTTTCTTTTTTTTTACCACATGAGTGGTGTAATTTACATTTCACACTTCACTGCTACTCAGTGGTGTATTGGTAACTGAAGAAGTGTGGACTGTATCAATGTTCCTAATAAGCCCAGTAAATTATCTTATCATCTGTTAGCATTAACAGCTCAAATAAGCATGTGTATGGCAGGCCTTTGTATAAGTATATGGAGGGGGACCTCTGGTGGTATAGTTAAGTTATGCTTGCATCCACTGCTTGTTTCTCTTTTTTGCAAAGAAACTGACAGATATAAATGACATACACTACCACATAAATTAGGAATATGTACAACTTCTAGTCATAAGACTAGTTAAATAAATGTCTTTGCTGCAAATCCTAAAAGCTTCATCCAAACTTTGCAACGCCAGAAATTGTCTCTTTTGTGTTTATATAATCTAATCATTTTATATATAATACAGCACTCACAAGAATGAATGCGTCTCAATAATTCACTGAGATTGATGCAACCGCTTTTACCATCTACAACTCTAGAATTCAGCTAACATACCACATGTGTAAATAATCAAATGTATGTGCATGACATATTGTATTCCTGTTTTATCAGAAGGGCTTTTTAGGACCATCCTCACATGAGCCATTTACTCTTCAGAGTAAATCAACTTGACCTACATAAGCAGTCACATGCATCAAGGCTTAATTGTACATACTGTATATTCATTCAATATACAGATATTATTATTATTATTATTATCAAATTGCACAGAAACAACACAATGCTTACAGGAAGTAGAAGGGTTTTAGTCACAGTACACAATTATACTCAACACCTCAGAAAGCATGTGTTTATATATATATATGTCTCTTGCTCTCTTTTTACAATGATGCACTGCAGTTATTTAGGACCACCGTAAAGTTTGCTGACACCCACATTCATTTCTGAAGGACCAGGTTTGAGATACATAACTTCTACCTGATGAAACACAGAGAACACAGTATCTACTTTTGCTCGAAAAAATAGATATCAGCTCCCTCTATTTGCTTAATTTTTAATGCAGGAAATTTCTACGACAGGTGAATTATTCTTTAGGCCTCCAAAGCACAATTTTTTACAATTATCATTTCCTATTACGCTTCACTCGCCTAAATTCTGTATGCAATACAAAGTCTAGCATTGACGAGACACTAGCTGAGACTATCAAGGTATCTCCTCAGTTATGATGGGGTATAATTGCACTACTATCATTTATATGTCTGCTTTACGATGCAATAAATGCACTAAACGCTATGCTGTACCCACCTCCAATTATGAACAAGTTGTCGATGATGATGTCAACATTTCACCTGGTTTCTGCCAAGCCGACAATACAAATGATATCCAACAGTGTCTGATGATGATGTGTACAGGGTGCAACTTTTGTCTATAGCACATTTGAAAGAGGGGGTGAATAAAACACAACAACATTTAAGTAACATTTCTGTCTGTGGTGTTTTTATTTCTACATGGTGACTCATAACCACCAGCAGAGGGCAGAAGCGGTATGTATGTCAATGACATTGCCCCCCTGCACAAAGCAGGTCTATAATAAAAACGTTTTCCCAGTATGGTGTTGAAGAATTTGACTTGTCTGCACAGAGCCCTGACCTCAACCCTATCCAATACCTTTGAGATGAACGAACGCTAACTGTGTTCCAGACCTTCTCGCTCAGCAACGGTGCCCGACCTCACTCGTGCTTTTGTGGCTGAATGGGAGCAAATCCCTGCAGTCAGCTTTCAAAATCATGTTTAAAGCCCTAGAAGAGTGAAAGCAATTAAGCAGGTCAATGTCTGGAATGAGATGTTTGACATTAATAAGAATGAGTGTGATGTTTGGAGAGTCCACATACTTCTGGCCTCGGCAAACCTAAACTGGGATGTTGTGTTGGCGCCGCACAGCTTTATCAAATTTAGATGACAAGGAGAGGTTAGAAATAACCGAACACGTACGAGAACTGGGGACCTGTAACATGTTTCAAGTCTCTTTAATCAGTCCAAACATGCAACTTCAATCTGCTCAAGTTATTCATTGCTACACACGTGTGCCATTCATTTAGATTCAGCTTGCGCTCTATTCCGTACAGAGATCCATGATATTACCACCTCTATCTGGACATGATCATCATTTACCATCTGTCCACTCGTAATACCACGTTTCATCCTTTGGTAGCCGAATATCACTTCCCTCTTTGGTTGATCTCACATGAGTAGTTCTGAATTGCTGCTACGTGTCTAAGTCTCGAATAGTACGTGTGAAAGTCATCCTACAAATCCAGGATAACAACACCATCTGATGATGAGTTTGTGGCAGGAATATAAGGAAGTTTCCCATTTCGCATTTCTAACTGTCTGAGAATCTTGTGAGAAAAATAGTGACTCAGCTTTTGTCTGTTTTCCTGAAGGCCATGCGTAACCTACTATCACTCTCTCATTGTGTTGATGATAATTACCATCACTGTCACCAAATATACGGAGGTGTGATGGTGTAAGGCGTCAATGCTTCGTCCTGCCAGAAGTCAGCCACCCCCGTATCCTCCTTCTCATCCTCAAGTATCAGCAATATTGGAAGGTGTCACTTTATGCCTAATGATTATTCACAGCCACCTGTCTCTCCCTGTCCCGAGCTCTGTGGTGGTTACACAGGCATCCATGCATGCATTGCAGTTATTTTAGACGGGTTAGAGAGAGTTCATCATCTGGAACTTCTCTTCTCAACTGTTTCTGTGTACCTGTATTGAAGCTTTGTTAATACCACTCAGTAGCATAGCACAAAAGTCTGAGAAGTGTTTAGTGTTTGTAATACATTGATGTATTAAGTAAGGCTGCAACTTTGAAATCTCAGCATATTTCAGCCCTCTTTTCACCACATTATGTAATTACTGCGTGAAGCTGTCACTGTAAGGTTTCAGAAAATTCTAGAACAGTTTTAGGTCGCCATTATACCCAGGGCATAAGACAAAGGAGGAAAGCCATCAAATTCTAGAACCTACACTGAGAAAGGATTAATGCATTGCTATTTCATGAATAATAACAGAATACGATTTCTGTGAAATCACGTTTTATTTGCTAAATTAAAGTGAATTAGTTTCCTACCAGTTGAAGGCCCAGTGTGAAAACTTTAACAACTGTCTATATATTTACAAAAAAGGTTTTAACAATGTAGGCAATGCTGCTTCATTTATCAGAACGCTAACTAGTATAACATCAAAGGTGCAAGATGTGAGACTGGGAGCATTTCGATTGCCTCTCAACGGCTCTCAACAAGGCAACGCTTGTAGCTAACGGTGCTAACAGCGCTAACAGTACAAACTATGGCAAACAGTGTTAACCTGAGGGGGAGCCAGAGGTTGGGTGAGACGCTTCCACAACGACGCTGTAACCGCCGTATGAGAGCAGAGAAAAAAATATATATATTTCTATTTGTATCAAATTTAGCGAAACATGAAATAGTTTTGCAACGAAGTTCCTCTTTTTTGCGCCACATATTCTAAACGTTATCATTTCACATCATTCACTTAAAATATTGGTGTAAAAACGTGCTCTTCTCACAACGAAACACTGTGAATAAAGAGAGAAAGTGCAATTGGTTAAATATTTTTGTTGATGGAAATTAAACGCTAACAGCAATACAAAACATTGTCCCCACTGCATGCACACACAACCTACACAAGTCAGAGCTGTGTATGATGACAACAAGACATATTGGGCTGTAAAACACAGACAGATCCCAGCATGGGAGGTGAATGATACAGGCTGTTTGAGAACAAAGGCAAATTGGTTTTACCCACTGGGGCAAAAACAACGGCTTTGATTGGCAACAGTAAGCAAATTAGCCAGTAGGCTGCCAGACACAGGGGAAGGCAGCTAATTGACTTTTATCTTAATTGTCCTTTTCCTAACAATGAGATGCTGTTTCCATACAGTAATAACCTTCAGGGTGTGAAAGTCACCGTCTGTGTGTCTCTCCAGGGGTTTGACACGCACAAGACCTCTGAGTTGACCCTGTGGGCAGCCGATAGCTGGTCCCCTATCAGGGGGCCTCACACCATCCCACTGCAAGTCAACATGGTTCTATTATACTGAGCACAGGTCACACTGCCTTTTGATCAGCAAACATTCAATGAAACATTCTTTCAATCGGATATGTATCTGTTTTAGAAGACTGTCAGATTGACTGTAACCAGAAATGTTGAATTTAGGAGGAATTTGACCCGTTGTTTGGATTAAATTGACATGACTCTGTAGTGCAGATCAGAGCAAACTAATTAGTCCACTGTGGATTGGTCTATCAGTCCCATTGTCCTCAGCCAGTGTTATGGTATTGATCCAGCCAGTCAACAATCTAATCCATCAATCAGCAGCAGGCCAAGTGACAGAACCCACAGGTGACAAAAACAGAAGTCTGCAGTGTGTGACTGCTGCTGGCTGCTGCGTTTCATAAGCCCTAACAACTAAAGTTAAAAGAGTTTTACATTAAATGATGAAACTCCTCTTACAATGCAATCATGCACTGTACTCAGCGCACAGAATCTTTTATAAAATCCCTGTTTATAACGCAGCTGTTCTATCATCCTCGCCTTTGCTCTCTGGGAACAGCACTGAGAAGCCTGTGTAATGGTGAGCTCCTATTGGCTGATGCTCGTCTGTATAAAGACCCGCTGTGGCAAATTAAATCAGATCAACTGCGAGCATCCTCCGAGAACCACCGTCCTTGCTCGATCACACTGGCAGGATTTCTGTGTTGTATTGCTTCTTTATTTCAACATTTTCTGCAACAAACACTGGGTCATCACTGACACCATGAAGGAAAGGAGAAATACACAGCCGCTGGTGGTGAGGTGTAAACTGGTTCTTGTGGGAGACGTACAATGCGGAAAAACGGCGATGTTGCAAGTCCTGGCGAAGGATTGTTATCCAGAGGTATGTTCTAATGTGGCTCCTGTTAGTGACAAATTAACTAAACGCGTATGCACATACCGCTGTTCTGTAGTTTTGTTGATAACCAGAGCGCTAAGTTATCTTAAAATGATTAAATGTGGCAGAAAAAAAACGGTGCGCATGTTGCAGAGTCCGTTTTCATGCGCATTTTTTATAACATGTTGTCCTCTTGGTTTATTTGGCATGCATTTACCGTAATACCTTAAGGGGCATCAGTTGTTTTATCGCATAATCAATGGAATTGTATTCCTTACACATTAATGATTGTTTCATGTTATACTGCTGTGCGCAATATTTCTTGCAGCTGCAGTGATTAATGTGATTGATTGATTCGAAATGTATTCAAATTGAAAGGGGGGGAAAAAATGTTTTTTTTATTAGCCAGATTAGTTCCGTTACCTGTAGCTGACAGACATACGCCTCCACACTAATGGCACCATGCTGTTTATTGCTCCCCAGACCTATGTGCCCACGGTATTTGAAAACTACACAGCCTGTCTGGAGCTGGAGGAGCAACGAGTGGAACTCAGTCTGTGGGACACTTCAGGTACCTGATCACAATTTCTCTGTCTATCCGGCCTATCATGGCCTGCCATTCTGCCTGCAGCACTGAGGGAGACTATTAGGCAATGCGCAGTGAATGTGATGAGTGTCTGTCTCAGCTGCGTCTTAGAATATCTTCCGAGATATTCTTCTTTTGGTAGCATAGACATGTAATTGTTATAACCCTGTCCATTTTGGAATAAAGGAGATAATATGATTGTGGTGTTTGATTACATAAAGGCTAATGAGCAGGCCTTATACTCTTTGTTTTCATCCATCGCTGAGGCACAAAATGTGCACTTGTTGAACTGCAGAGTCTCAGTCATCTTTCATTTCTAAATGTCAGAAGATTAAATGTCCTGAAATATCACCTGATGCTTTTTACACATGGTAAGATAAAGGATTGACAGATCTACAAGTACTTTTCCGTGCCTAATATGTTTCACTGGAAACTAGGCATAGAGACAGGGATTATTGCGCTTCAATTGTTGTTAATGCTGACTTTGTGCATCATATGTTCATTTACACTCAGCATGAAAAAGAGGGTCAATGTGTCAGTGTGGATCTCCCCGGGGATCTGCTGTTCGGTGTATTGACCTGGATACTGTGAACACGGGTCTGCAGCACCTGTTTGATTCCCTTCATGCTCACTGCACAACAATTTCTCTTTCAGCCCATTTATCCCTCTCCATCCACGCTAGAGCCGGATGTATCACTACGTCACTGTGGCTGAGCAAGTTGGCTTGTGTGGCTTTTTGTGCATACGTGTGTCTGTGTGCAACAAATCCTTTATGTAACAGACCCACTTGTGTGAGATGATGCAGTATTCACTGTGTTCTCGCTGCCCCCCCCCCCCCCCACATTATCCAAAAGCGGCAGGGAAAAAGTGAGTGTAATTCCCTCCCCAGACCAAATCCTGCTTTTTAATCCCAGACTGTGGACTTTTGGTCTGGCCAGCAGGAATGGGCCTGGTGCCGGGGTTGATGGGCAAACAGAGAGACATCCTGTTGGGCAGGAAGGTTTTCTGGAGCAGACAGACAGGAGGCAGCTCAGAAACTCTGGTGACCTGCATTTGCCTCCATATGCTGCTGCGGGTCACCCACTAGAACAGCATGATGCAGGGGATTAAGACTCTGAATAGGTCCACTGGGCCACCCCTTCTGACTTTCTCTTTCTCTCTTTCTTTTCTTCTTCGTTCTTTCACTTGTATGTGGAGCTTTTCTGTTTCAGTCTACACTTTTCTCCTGCCCATCTTTCACTGTATTAACTCTTTTCTTCCCTCTGTTCACCCCTTTCTCTGTCTTTTCCTCGTTACCCATGCACAGTCCAAAATTGCACTGGTTAGTTTGTGGCTAATTTGCATCACAGGGAAACAATGAATATACACAGTAATAAAGCTAATGTAACTTACAGACAGTTGTGAATTACACGGTTAAATTGGCCACAAAAGGCATCACATAAAGTTATTCATGGTGATTTGAATATTTTTATTTGCAACACACTTTAGGTTTGATTTAAATAATGAATTTGCACTCTCTTGCCTCCAGTGAGAACAGAACTTAAATCACATCTCCTCCCTATCATTTGTTATAGATGACTCTCGTGTATCTCATGTCAGGCTGCAGGTAACGGACGACACCCACAGGGGCTATTTGTTGGCCACACCATACAGTTTCTTATTCTTACTGTAATTTGGTCTAATTGCGTGGAGTTGTGCTGCTGCAGCCCTACCCCACTGAGAGGGTCCTCTCATTATCCTGACTCCCCTTCATTGATTGGACTGACCTCATCACTACCTCCACATGGCAGGCAGCTCCTTCTCCCAGCCCCGCCATGGATTTACAGGCCAAAATCAATCCACCGGTTTTAATCAGCCCGGTCCGATCGGACATGTGGGGGGAGAGACAAAGAGGAGAAGGCGAACATCATCCACTGGGTATAACTCATGAATAGTGAACAATGAAAGTCGTTATGGTGTTAGTGGGTAATAAATTTCAGGTTGAATGGTCTTGCTGATAAAGCCTTTGCGTTTTAGAAGATATTGTATATACACTGTAATCATTTATTGTATGATTAATGAATGAGACACATTTGTAATGAACCCAATATCCATTTAAGCTGATGAACCCATCTGTATGATTGTAAAAGAGAGGCATTGTTAAATGACAATTATCAAGTTAATGGATTACCATGATAGTTGTCTATTAACAATTAAATGTTAGAATTGAAATTTGAAATTACTGATTGTATATACGCCTAATGGCTTGTTATTAGTAATTTAGGGTTCAGTCTGTTTTAAGGCTGCAACCATTTTATTGGTATTTTTCCATTAGGAAATGAAATGATTAAACAATGCATCAAATCACTTAATTGACTCAACGTTTCAGCACTAGTTCAGTTTTTAATTAGAATAAAGGTTAAGGTAAACTAATCTAGGCAGATGAATTCTATACAACAGGCTGAATGAACTGATTGTTACAAGAATACAAATTTTAACAACTCAATTTTTTTCCTCTGAGGCTCTGATTATGGCTTCATGAAAGATTACTAGCAGAATACACTTTTAATTCAATGCATGTCATGGCTTTACATCTTTCAAACCATCTGTTGTTGGAGCCGACTTCAAAATCCAGAGTGGGATGAGCTTTGACAATGTCAAGTTACAAAGTAAAGCTTGTTAACAGCTCAACGTGGTGATGCTCAGGGACAAAGGGCCGTCCCCCCCTCTCCCTGCAGGGGTCTTCAGAAGTGATTCTGACTGGCTCTGGCATGTGAAACCAGGGAACAACTGTCTGACGCAATGTAGTGTGTTTTTTGGCCTGGCTGTGAAGTCCGTAGTTATCAGCTGCAGCAGCAGCAGCAGCTTCCCAGTCGGCTGAGTGTGGGTGGAGGGGCAGGGCTACTCTCATCCCCAAATCTGTGAGTCATCCCATCACTGGATCATTACTCTGTCTGACCCCTGCATTCTCACTGAAGAGGAGTCTGCTAATGATGAAGATAGGCTATGTTGCTCAGTTGATTTAGCACACATGCACAAAAATACCCTCACAGTCTCACTCATGCACACACAGAAAAAGCAGATCCTCCCCTCCCCCACCTGTACGCTCAAACACAAGGCCCGTCGTCTAGGCCTGCGAAGCCTACTTCTGCTCTGGCCCAATTTCCACCTCGACACTTAGCTCTGGGCACCGCACCACCAAGACGGATGGAGTTGAGCTCAGCTGCAGAAGTTTGGTTATGCTCTTGTCTTTTCCTTCAATTCCCCAGTTAGTCAGCCTCACTCTCCATGTTTCATGCCTCAGAAACTCTCCATCTGTTGTCGAGGCATGCTGTTGAGAAAAGGGAAGCATTTGGAGCAGGCTCTGCATGTGTGTTGATCTAGCCAAGCCATTCTTTGGGTTGTTGCAATGGAGAGAAGGAGGGAAGAGAGGGAAAGCGACAGAGACTGGTACTCTGTGATATCAGACTGCAGGGGGTGAAGGATTAATGGCATAGGAGGGCTCTTTGTGATCTACCTCAGTAGGCTACACTCCTGCTTTCCCTCCTCTCTTCCTCCTGGCTTTTCCTTGACACAATAGAAACAACTGTTTCTTCTAGGATTAGAAACTGGGTCTTGGAGTGTCTGGAGAGTGCCGCTAAGGCTGCTACTGCACCCAAACAGCATGTTGTGGAGCTTCAAATACTTAATATTTACACATTCATATAATTTTTTATTTAATTCCTTTGGAGGTAGGATACATATGCCCACGGAATCCTGCATCCTTTATGCAAAAATTGATTTCTTTGAAGAAAAAAACATCCTCGACATTCCCTCCATCTCCCCTCCCTCTTGACAGGGTAACTCATTTGTCAGCTTTCATTTCAAAGGGTCTTGGACCCCCTGTGCAGCTTTCTATCGACTGCTGCATTTAGATCAGTGGCCATTTAATGCAGAATCACACCAGGTTCCTGGCTGTGTGATAACCTCCTGAGGGTGATTGAGAAGATTTATAGAGCGCTCTGCCTCTGATTCTCCTATGAGACACCTTAGAGTCCCCACACACATACACACACTCATCCTAGTGGTGCTAATTGTTCTGATTTTAATGTGTGTCAATTTTCACAGTCAGCAAACGCAAAGTTGTCTCACAGATGAGCGTGTATTTTCAACTCAGCCCGAGGTGTAAACGGTGTTAGGGCAATAATGTAATTTGCATTCTTAAGGTGTTGAAGTCTGTAAAAATACAGCCGTAGCAAATCATTTAGTTTAATCACAACGTTTCAGTTAATTTGCTACTTAACAGTATAGTATTTTTTCTATCCAAAGGCTTAGAAACAGAGTTTTAATACAACAAGTCCCTTTGTTCCTCTGCTGCGATGTTTACTTTCTTCAGGACATTGAGCCCTGAGGAATTTCATCGCAGCTTGTCATTATTCCACTCACAGCGCCCGGCAGCTGGCAAATTCAGTTTTTCCCTTTGATAATGTGGAAAATCATTAAGTATTCATGAAACTGATCTGAATGCACACATCCATGTTGTGTGTGCTTGTTCATATGTTTCCTTCTGATGCATTGTTTTCTGCGCTGTAAATCAATTAGGATGGTTGTGTAATATCTAACGGTAATTACACAGACGGCTTTTGTCATCTGTGGCTATAAGAGGAACGCTGAATCCCTTTTGGGATTCACACAGAGCCTAAAGTAAACATGTTAATCCGATTGAGCAGTTCCTCTTCTGTTTCATCTGATCACAAACCTCTGGCTGCTGCCAAACCTAAATAGTGAGTCTGTGTGTCATCAGGTGTGGTTTCGTGTCTTTGTGTGTGACGGATGTATGTCTGTGGTCCCCAACTCTGTTGCAGAGCAGAGGAATGTCCCCAACAGGAGGTGGGTGGGCAGTTTGCGGTGTAAAGTGATTGATTGGCAGTTAAAGCGAGCCTTTATGGTGGGGTGGGAGGAATGCCTGATGTAGATGGTGGATTCCAAGGCTGTTGCTGTGGTAACAGAGGGACTGAAGGTATTGCGCGCTGAGCAGACGATTTTTGGGGGGTGGTGGGTGGTTTACTTAAGGATTCTGAGCATGAGTGGGAGCGTCTGCCTGCCCCGAGCCCACCGTTCCACTTGCGTAATCTACTGCAAGAGGAGATCAATGAGGATTTAGGGCTCGATTGTCATCTTCTCTCCCTCTGAAATGCCAGCAGAGGATATAGGAGCAGAGGAAAGAGCAGTTTCAGGGGCAGCAAAGTGAGGCTCAGCAGGAGAAGTGATGCCGATTGCACATAATCCCTGCAGCTCCCTCATTCTGCCTCTGCCACTCTGCTGCTCGATCACCCTTTTTGCACAGCAATCGATTCCGGAAACAATCTCTAGTTAAAATGAATTACTCATTTACTCTTAATTAAGCATTTTACAAAGCAAATTTTATCTCGATCCTTGTGCCTTTGATATGAAAATATGCCTTTTAATGTGGCACCAGAAAAGAGCGGTGAACTGCAAGTCTGACCCCAAAGTTTTAAAAATATCAAAAGGCCTTTCTCCATCAAACACTCAGGAACAATACAAGTTAAAGAGAAACAAAGAATAGAAGTGTGCTACCATTTCACCATGAAAATTAAAGGAGGACCTTTGGCAATATTTTAAAATGGCTGCAGTGCAATATTCTTCTGAAACGTTTGTCTCACATATCAGCAATATTCAGCACTGCACTCATTCTGCTTCAAGTCCCTGTGGTCAAAAGGGGCTGCACTGAAGGCATTGATGGCACATGGAGCAACTTGAAATCAGATGCCTGCGTGTGTTTTTATAGTTTGTCTTGTCATTTATCCACGTTTGTAATGTTTTCTGTTTTCTGCCCTCTAAGGTTCTCCATACTACGACAACGTGAGGCCCCTGTGCTACAGTGATTCAGATGCAGTTTTGCTGTGTTTTGACATCAGCCGTCCTGACACTGTGGACAACAGTCTGAAGAAGGTAATGTCTTCAGTACTTTACGTTAAAGTGATATTTCACCGATGTGTACCGTTGTACTTAATATCCACAATTCCCTCAGATTTAGCCTGCTTTCATCAGAGCATACCTTACGACAGGTGATTATTTACTGTGGCAAAATGGAGCCACTGAACTGACTGTCCTTTGCTGTCCACAGTGGAAAACTGAGATCCTGGACTTCTGTCCGAGCACACGGATCCTGCTCATTGGCTGTAAGACCGACCTGCGCACAGATGTCTGCACGCTGATGGAGCTGTCCAATCAGAAACAGACTCCCATTACCTATGAGCAGGTGAGACAAAAGAAGTAACACAAAGAGTTTTTCAGGAATATAATATAGTCAACGTCGGACTAAAAGCAGTCACAAAACATGTATGACAACCACACTTAAATAGTACACTTACTTAACTTTTCATGTTGAGGCTTTATTTGTGTCAGGAACCTATGGATATTGATATACATCACATCTTGCATAGCAGTACACTTCCACAGGAGCAGTTATTTCCAGCTGGCATTCTCGTTTTTTTAATTTCACAGCCATTTTATGAGCTTTCAGGGCATTTCTTCCTGAAGACCACACTACATCGTGACCCTGGTGCAAATAGAAAACAATGAAAATGTATTAAAGGACATTATGAACAGCACCCTTCATCATTCATCACATATATTGCAGGGTTCTGCTATGGCCAAGCAGCTGGGTGCAGAAGCTTACCTGGAGTGCTCAGCGTTCACCTCGGAGAAAAGCATCCACAGCGTATTCCGCACCGCAGCGATGGCCTGCATCAACAAGCTGCAGCCTCTCCCGAAGCCAAGCCCCACCCGCCGCCTGTCCAAAAGACTTCTCCACCTGCCCAGCAAGTCGGATTTGCTCTCCTCCACCTTCAAGAAGGAGAAGACCAAGAGCTGCTCTGTCATGTGAGTGGAGACCTCCTGGGTTACAGTCCTCACATGCAACCCCCAGCCCCTGCCTCTTTGGTCTCGGGGAAGGGGGGGTGGGCATGATGGTTTTATCAGGGCTTCCTGCTGAATCCTTCCCTCACCCCCCCGAAAACCAAACACCCCTCAGAAGAGGTGGACACTTCGCTGTCCACTTGCTCCTGAACCTTTTAGCGCACATCCATCTTTTTTTCCACTACTGTTTATCTTGCTTTCAGAGACACAATATCAGTCAAGGTTTGATCATCAAGCTATCATTTCTTTCACCTGTAAACAGTATGCAACTACAATGGTGTTACATCTATATGATTTTACTATCTCTAGGCACATGTTGATTTTGTCCAAATTGGAAATGTGCAACGTGTGACGTTTAATCTTGTGATGTAAATGCCTCTCAGACAATTCAATGGATATTTTTCTAAGTACAAAAATAAATCTAGCATGAAACCGTCAGGAACTAGCAGCATCCTGTACCTCCCTCTTAGTAAGGTGTGTGAGGTGTGAAATAGCTTGTTGCTGGTGTCCCCATTTAGGCCTGTGAAAGCACAGAGATGTAGGGGGAGTAGTGGGACAAACCACAGTGAGAGCTATTACATAGAGAGCTGTTCTCGTTGTCTCAGTGGTGATGAGTGCAGGGATAAGAGCTGTGAGCACAGGCTGCTGTGCAGACAGCAGTCTATACCATTTCAACCTGCATGGATTGTTAATGCATGGTTGTGTAGCTCTGGACAGCGCTGCTCCAAAGGCTTTCAGTGCTGAAGAGGGTCTGTGTATACAACACAACTGCAGAAATGAGGAAACGCAAAGAAAAAAAAAAAAAAGTGTTTAGTTGGGCTTTCGGTATCTCTGCCGTCACAGCTGTAGTCTATTTTGAAACACTGTTTTCGTAATGGCACAGACACATTTAAAATGATGAGAAAGGATGCTTTTATATAAAAAGCATAAAAGCAGTTCAATGCAGAGCTGTGGAGTGATATTTATGAAGCTGTGGCTGGTTAATGATGCCAGTCAAAGTGTTATGAGGCATTTTTAAAAGCATAGGATGACACTAACTAAGTCAGGCCGACTGCTAATGGGAAAATCTGGTTTGCAGTTTCAAACATTGTTCGGAAAAGATTTGTAGCATTGCGTTGTTGACAGTTTTTCAACAATTCACAAATGGTATGCAGTTTTGAAAAATGCCTTTCATATCCCGGAAGTCAATGTGATATTTTGACTACTGTAATAAACCTGTGGATTTCTCTCGTTTGCAACAATCCAATGTAGCACTCCCAACCTGACTCTACTCTTCCAAGATGACTAGTATTGTGTCGTACACTCCTGTTAATCCATTTACCTTCAATAAGCAGCACTTACTGTAGGTTACGGCAACTACGAAGCAAAAATTGGACCCTTTTCAGAGCTTAAATCTTTGGCTTCATGGTTATGTGTGTGCAGCATTGATCTCTGTGCTTCTAACCATAAAGCAATAATGATTTAAGTGTGTGTGATGCAAGATAACCTGTGCGGCAATAAAGATGCAGCTTTGTGATTACTGTCATGCTATAGCGCTCCATGGACATCCATGATATAGACTGAAACCATCTCTGCTGTATAAAGAGGCTGCTGCTCTGTGTTTGCCCCTCCTCCTCCGTGTTAGTAGCCACTGGTATATAGAATAATCAATGACAATGTCCTACTGTGAAATAGATTGGTGTATGTGAATAAGAGGGAACAACGCTCTTTGAGTTGGAGATGCTAAAATATGCTGTCAATTTTTACATAATCATAATAAAAAAAGTGTTGAGGCAGCGGGACTTAAATTAACTCCTTGAGTGAGTTGACAATATATACTTAAAAAATTGGAAATCTACTTAAAAAGTCTATAAATCAACTTGTAAAAAGGGCTAGTGCGTGGAGGGAAACAATAAATGATGTGAGGGGAACAAGTAATTAAAAGGCACAGGCTGGCCCTGTCCAAAGAAAGCTATTTTTCCATTCTTTGTTTATCTGGTTAATGTGTATTTTTCATTTCTTTTTGGTATTTAAAAGCATGATGTGAGTCCCGGTGTTGTTTTAGAAATATCTCTCAGAGATGGTTGTAGCGTTTTCATGGAGCTGTGGACTTTCCCCGGTACTCGGAGGAACTTAAAGTGGTGATTTGCACAAAGGCTTCCAGTTCATGTTCACACACCAAATTCCTCAGCATTGCCTAGCAACAATTCAGCATAGGAAACATAGACCGGCTCTCGGGTTGGTTGTGTGGACAGAGAGGGTTAGCTCACAAGGAGACATCGCCACATCCATTATTACAGCGTCCGTTATGCATTTATTGCCAGGCTTGTTTAAAAAAAACAAAAAACATTTCTTGATATTTTTCTTTGGGTTAGGGAGCTGATGCCAGGCCTTCTGAAGATGGGATAGATGGGCGGCTCACGGACCATGTCAGTTAATATGCAGCCTTTGTGTTGTAGTCAGTGTGTGGTACAATGGTGCAGTCAAACTCCTAAGCATGTCCTATTAAAGTTGTATGATTGTACATACCGTCTCTTGTTTTATAATCATTGTAAGACATCTTCAAGGATGTCAAATCAAAATATTGTCGGTGATGTGAATATTTAATTGGTAGCTATTTTTGCCTTTTTTTATTGACATGTACATTTGTTTAAAATCTATTTTGGAAATTTGACTTTTTTCCCTTTTTGTTTTTGTTTTTTTTGCTGTGTTGAATAAAGCTTGCCCTGTCCGGCACCCTTGAATTGTTATTCTCCTGTCATTTGAAACTTGAATCGTTAACAATTCATTACTTCACTCTCTGTGATGATATGCTTTACAGTATCAGTTTCACAGTGTTGACTTAAATAATCTGAATAAGAATTCAAATTGTTACTCAAGATAAACTCCTAATAAAACCGCAAGTGGTGAGATTAATTATGTATTTGTATATCAACTATTTTCTAAATAAATTCATACATAAAAAAAATATTATTTATCTATACCCACTGTTAAGTTAAGTGTTGAGTGAACCCAGAATGCAGCACGCAGACTCTGAAAGCAGATTAAAAGGTTTATTGCAAAACTCTTCTTTCTGAATAGAGATAATGGCAAACGAGCAAGGCAGAGGGTAAGTGGTCCGGGGGCTGAACAGACGGGAACGGGGGCTGGGTTTGACAACAGAGAGAGCGAACAGGCAGGCAAGAGATTGGAAATCCTGAATAGCTGACAGGCAGGCAGAGATCTTAGTGCAAGGACACAGATGATGAAGTCAAAGACAAAAAAACAAAACAGGGACTCTCACAAGAACTACTTTGGTCCAAGACCGTAGCTTCGACTGTGGTAGACGTAACAATCTGGCCAAGACTGAGAGGAAAGCCAGAACTGATATACTGCAGCAGTTGATTAGGTGATTAGACTCAGGTGTGCCAGCTGCCACAGCTCAGGAAAAGGAGTAACCAAACCATCACACAGACACACACAGGGAGACCACAGGAGACAAGAGGGCAGGGAAAACATGGCATGACACTCTATAAATTCAAAGTAGTATCCCTCTTATTTCATCTTTTTTCACAGTTTGATTCCATGAAATGTTCAAATACAGTATTTTGCATTTGACTGTTGAGATGCCTCTGACTGAAACATACCTTTGACGTCCATCCAGTTACCATCAGGTGTTTTAAACATTGGTATGAGATACTGATTTTGAAACTTAAGTCAAAACTGGCACATTGATCAAAAAGCCTTAAACATAGTTTTAAAATGTAATAATGATGCCCATCTAGTTTAAACCCTCCTGTCATTTATCTGATCACATACTTCTGAAAGTGTTGAAATGAAAGTGAACAGAATTCTCCAGTAGTGTATCACTTCAATCATCTCTGTAGGAAGTGAGGTGCTTATCTTTTCCACTCCATCAGTGCTAATAATTGTTTAACAGGCTCTGTGTCACCCCACGCATGCAGAGCATGTCTCAGTAAGGATAGAACTAATTTAAATCAAGATGGATGGGGGATTACTTCATCCCTAAACTAAGATCATAGTCGTTGATTATCAGGGAGTTATTATCACAGACTGAGAAAGAAAAATGTGTCATTCGGAGGTGTACCTGCGAAATGATTAACAGCATAATAAGCATAAGGAGGAAAGTTTTGATAGCACCTACAAAGTAAAATACATCCTTTGATCAATAGATAGATCGATAGATAGATAGATCGATAGATAGACAGATAGGAATCATCCTTACAGGTTGTTGGAAATCATCACAGCTTCTCCTTCTCTACTAAAGATGCACATGGCTGCTGCTCTCATCTGTCTTCAAACCCGCCACATCTGGTCGCTGCCATCTGCAGAGGTGTCTAAAACTGGCCTGGTGCCACAGAATGTGGCAGAGGTGCCAACGAGCACATGTGCCCTCACATTGCCTCGTCTTCGGTATATGGAACAACATTATCATGCATTTGGAGTCGTGTTTCCGTCCACCTGATGAATTGAAGTCCAATATTCACTCTACTTTTATCTCTATTTTAGTCTCCACCAAGTCCTCCACCATGTTTATCAGCTAGTCACTGTGTCTGTCTGTTTTTAGTGATGAGCAGGTAGTGTACAGTGGGATTTTTGAGTTTTTTTTGTTGAAAACAGCTTCCTGCTGTCAGAGGCCAATAACAGTAACGTTGCTGTAACATTAAAACAATGAGCTGAGAAACATTGAAATGCTCAGTAGTAGAAGGCAACTGCAGTGTTGAGTGACAATTATCTGTAGGACAAAAGTATTAATAACAGCTTTAATGCACATATACTTTTTCACCAAAAGATTTCTTTTTTTTCTGTTTTTGGGGACCATTGTTGCAACCGCAATTGACATTGCAAGAATCCAGCTAGCAGCAAGTTCAGGGTTCTTGCTGCTTATACTGAAAAAAAAAAGAAAGAATCCTGCTTCTAAAAACAAAATGAATCATGGGATGTCAGTTTGGCAGATGCTGAAGGACCTGAGGTAGAGGCTGACATTGTACACATGCAGCCACACACACTGGGTGTGAGGACATGTAAATGGGCCACATACGCTGTTAGTCGTAGTAAATTAGGCCAACATCTGGACAGGCACAGAGAGTTCAATTGCCCACTCAGCTGTGGCTTGTACCTCGAGGACTCGGTTAAAGAGAAGTGGCATCATGGCACAGTCCAGTGAGTTCAACCCTGCCATTTTGTTAAGGCTTTGCCATACACAGCCACCTTAGAAATGTTCTTTGTCTCCTATACAAACAGGGGGTCATTTTGACTGAGGATTACTGTGTTGCCATAGACAAAAGCAGGAGAGGGAGGGTATTTTACCCACACAAAGCCAATTTAATGGGCTGTAAAACACAGTGGATTAATTCTGATTCACACACATGTCTGACTAATCAGAATATCAATCCACATCACAAAATTAAATTCATAAAAGTGCTCACATCATTATCTCTCTGG